CCCGTACCAGGTGGTGGATATGGAACTGTTCCTGGTGGTGGTTATGCACCTTATGGTAGAGGTGGTGGTGCTTACTATGGTGGAGGTCCTGGAGGATATGGAACTGTTCCTAGCCAAGGGTATGGTCCTGGAGTGGCTAGTGCGTGGGATTAAGCTTTAACTTCAATTCTTCAAGAACCGATTATGTTCTCTCTCTCTCACTTATCTCTATTGTTTATTATTAGGGAGCAGCCACCGATGTGTATGTTTGCTCTTTAAATGGTTATGTAGTAGACACGAATCGTCTCTTTGTTCACTGTGAAAAAAGAAAAACCCCTAGTCGACTATTATTTTCATGAGTTTTAGTCTTAGAAAGCATGTCAAACATCAAAATTGATTTTAACCCATACTTTTATTATAATGCAAGGAAGAGAAAAAAGCCAAAGGGGTTTTAAGTAAATTGAGGATCAAAAAGAGATATAAAAGGAGGTTAGGCAAAGCCACACAGAGGTCATAATAAAGAATGACCAACTTCATAAAGTGATTTGCCTTACTCAGAATCACTTTGAACCTTTGTGTCATCTCTATCACAGATTTGGTAAAGGTTTTGTCTAAACAGTTGATGTCATATTCTGATCAAAGACGGAACAATAAAAAACAAAAAAAACAAAAAAACCTATCTGTAAGCAAATGGTGGAGGGTGGTGAAGGTGGTTAGCAGCGTCTGGTCCTAGGCATGCATCGAAATTCGGCTAAAAGTGCAATGTGATTAGAAGACCATTCTGGAGAAGGAAGAGCTGTGTCTTTTCTTAATCCATCTTCATCCAGTAATTCCAATAGAGATTCCACCATTAATGTATCCGCTGAAACCAAAAAGAAAAAAATCTTCCTATTAAGTTAACTTGTTATTTCTTATGTAGTTGAAAAAAAGGACAAGGGAGTTAAAAATGGTGAAACCTGTGTAGAATATGTAGTCATGAGTGCCGATAAAGTCCCTTGTACAATTGGTAAACAAAGGCTCGTTTGTATTAAGATCTATTCTCCTTCTGTGTTGTTCCAATCCAACACCCATTCCATTTCTCACAAACGATGAGTACGCGCTCACCTATAACAAATTCACTTATCAAAGATCCGAAGAGAGCCAGAAAAAAAGGTATATATTTACTTGATCGACGAAAGAAATGTTACCAAAGGCAATTGATGAGTCAATTTGGTGTGAGGACGCAGGATATTTAGGGGATCGACTGCCAGATCTGGGTGACCTGGATCAACCTTTCCCATTACAAGAAGTGTATGAGGAGCACTGTAACAAAAATTCCAAAAAGAAAAACTTTTAACTTTCTACACCACTACTCATAAGAGAATTCTGCATTTCATATATCATGTCAAAAGAATTTATGAATCAACAAACCTCCCAGGAATAGTATTGAAGTCTCCACACACAAGCATAGGAATATCGGCACTAGCAGCTATTTTTTCCAGTCCCTTTAATAAGGTATGAACCTAAACTCAAAAAGAATAAAACAAATCTTGAGGTGAATACTAATTCTTTCGAGTTCAATGAAATTTGAGTTATTTCGGATATAGAGATACACAAACCTGCCAGAGCTTCACATCCTTCAGATCTTGTTGAACATTTACATGTGTGTTTGCCTAAACAAGTTACCACAACAAAATAAGAAAACTAGTTAGCTTTCACTAAGAGCATGAACAGAGACTAACAGTTCTAATGAGAAGAGTCAATTGAATGGGAAGAAAAAAGAAAATTGTACCACACAAATAAGCTGGCGCTTCCCAGAAGGATCAGTAGGTTGATTACCAAACTTGGCTTCAAGAACAACTATCAACGCAATGTTATCCTATAACAAACAATGGAATCAGTTTTGTAAACAATAACTCTCTGATAATCAGCTGTGGCCTAATTGTATAGCATGTCAAAAATACCTTGACCAGTCGATTTAAAGCAGCTCTCTTCTGCGTCTGAGGGATTAGAGCATCAGTCAAAGACTGAGCAGCCTTATTGAATTCAACCTGGATTTACAGTCCATGATTTAGTATGGAGATCTAAATAGATCGAGTGAGTAAACATATAGAACTGATACAAACATCATATTTCTTGACATGCGAAAATCTATCCCGTCGGAAAAAAGTTGCACAGCCGTCAATGGCACTTGTACTTCCGCTGAGAACCTAGCAACGTGAAAGTTATGGTTAAGAGATTTCAAAACATAAATCACTGAAGGAAGGAGTGTGTGGAATCAATGACCCAACCTCATTAGTCTTCCTCTTGTAGAGAGCTTGATACCCATGCTTCTCCAACTCAGGAGCAAAAATTTCATGGAAATGATCACTTTGTACCTGCCAGATAACAAAAGAAGAACACATTAGAAGTAGATTTTTCAGGATTAAAATGCTTAAATCTTTACCAAGTCCATACGAATAACATACTTCTTGCAGGCAAACTACATCGGCTCTATATCCAACAATCTCCCTTAACAAATTCTGTCTGCGGTATGGCCAAGAAAGAGCCCAAGGAGGACAGTAACTGTAGAGGTCGCTACTTGCAGAAGTATCAGACAAAATGTTATATGAAAGAACAGTGAATGATCCTGCAGATTGAATCCGACCATCTTGATCTAAGTGAGCCATCACATCAGCTCCGTTAACAGGGACTAGCTTACGGGGGCTTGGAGAAGGAGCAGGAATAACCCGTGAAGTCAAAATGGTGCTAGGATGTCCCATAATCTGTTTAGTCTCAGCATTAGCCACAACACACTCGAACTTCAAAACGTGGCCAATATCATCAGCTATTGGAGTGTATGTTTTGCAAGCCCCGACCTCGACTAACGTCTCTCCTCCATTTTTCTGAGTAATATTAGAAGGATAAAACGGAGCTGGACCATTGTTGGCAATGTTAAGATTTGACATAGAACCAGATAAGGAACCAGCGAGAGCCCCAGAACCGGCACTGTTATTCCGGCCCAAGTCATCATCCTCGTTTGCGTTGTTTTCCGCAGCTGCTCGCTCGTGCAAAGTCCTGTGATGCTGCCACGCATCCGTAAAGCATTTAGGCGTACAGTGATAGCTTTTTGGAACAAGGGATCTACGCTTAGAACAGAAAACACATTGCAAAGTGGCTTGTTCCGTTGGATGCACACTGCAAATGGTTACTTTCTTATCGCTCTGTACACGATACCTACAACAAAGAAATCGAAAGAATGAATCTACAACAAGATGAGAACTTTTTAAGAAAATAAACCCCAAAGAATTAAATCATTTGACGACCTAAATCAGAACATGTCAGAATTCAGATCAAAATTCAATCTTTGATAAACCCCAATTCGCCAAAGGATCCAAGAAAGCAATTACACCGAGAGAAATAAAGAAGACAAACCATCTATATCTCAAGAAGTAGCCTTCAAGAGGAGCAGATTCAGGGACATCATCAGTGGCGGAGTTCTTATCGGGGCGACGAACAAGAACGTAAGGAGTCAATTCACAGCCCACAATGGGAATTTCAGAAGGAAGATGCACTCGGATCACGCTCAGCATTGCTTTTCAATAACACCTGGTGATTGTCGAACACTATCGAAGCAGCAGCAGAGATTCAGAATCGAAACAAGACCTTGATGATGATTTGATGAATATTCTCGTTGATGACCTAATGAAGTGGAGCGTACGATAGGCTGATCCACCATTTACTTGACCCAAAAACCCGTCCAATCTCTAGAAACCCTAGAAAATGTCTTCTTCACAAAAAAAAGTCGAGGATCCACCAAAGTAAAATCGAAAAAAAGAAAGAAAGGAAAAAGATCGAATCAAGAAATCTTATTAGAGATGTGGAAAGAGAGATCTTGAAGGAATTCTCTCTAAGGATCGATTCTTACGCTGGGTATATGGAAAAAATCAATGAAATCGATTTTTTTTTTTTTTTTGTTATTATTTTCCGAGTGGGTTTAATACTAAAAACTATATTTTTTTCTTTCAAGGCATTATTATATGAAATTTTATAATATTTTAATTGCTCTTTCTTTCCGAAGAAATATTTGGTTTTGGCGCTCAAAGATTGAAAGTTTTTCGTTTCATTTTGTTCATATAAAGTTAAATTAAAAATCATGCGTTAAAAAAAAAAAAAAATCAAGAATATGCGTACAACAAAATATGACTAACTAACCAGAGACAAATCAAGATTTATGACTCGTAGCATTACGAAAACAAGACTGATGACTTAGTAGAAATGTGTTTATATGTATGATAGATCCGATACTAGAAGATCAGAACAAACAAGGAATGGTGAAGATGAGTCCAATAGGCAGAGTGTTCAACGCCCATTCAGTAGGAGGTGTAATTTCTTCATTAAGATCAAGAGTCAAGAAAATGTAATTCGTCATCTTGAAGACGATTTTTGCAAATTAAGGTAGAATTAGCATATTTTTTTGTTCTTTTAAGATGTGAGATTTACCCAAAATGAAAAGCATCGTTTATCAATTCAATTGATCTTTCTTAAGTATTGTTGAATTTGTCAAATTAATGAAAGAAGCACATTTAAACATTGTCAAAAATTGTCATTTTGATTTTGCCTTTTGTTTTCGTTTAGTTAGTTCATTTGGTTTCGATAAATATTAGCGGATCAAAACAAAAATAATTTTGGTTCGGATTGTGAAAATTATTTTGGTTTTTAACAAATTTGGGTTGACTAAGTTCATTCTTTTTCAGGTTTACTCAATTTTTAAAAAGCTATACAAATTTAAAGTTTATATCTAACTTTTGTTTTATTTGATATGATTAGTTCTCGGCTATGTAATATATAGGTTGATTCGGTTCAACTCGGCTTGAATACTTTTCAAACCTCAACTAGCAAGCCTTTTACCAAATTTAGATAACTATTTACAAATTATTATTTTGAAATAATTAAGGAAAAGACAAATAATTTGTATCCATTTAATGAAAGTTGAGAGATTTCTTTCTCTTTTTACGCATTCAACAAAATTTTTTCTTTTTATTACTGCGAAGGCTAGAGTCCACATTTTATGTGGAGCGGAACAGGGAAAATAATTTTTTTTAGAAAGCGGTTTTATCCTAACAAAGAAGCCTCAAGCACTCTATATAAGTAGCAAAAAGAATACGCTACCAAATAACATCTTGAACCTGTAACAGAGAAAGTATTAGATCAAAATTGTTGAGATGAGTGAAAGCACAGAACGTTTTCAACTTTTCAGAAGTGTTGTGGCAGCTGAATATTTTTTGCAATATGATGGTAATTAACAATTTGTTTATTTTTCGTTCTTTATACTGAAATATTTGATTTGATATTTTTAATCTTTTAATGTTAGTTTTGTTCAAAGACGTCAAAAACATACGGAAATTGGAAGTTGATCTAACAATAGAAGAGAAGAAATGTTTAGAAAAGGTACATGAGAATCTACTTAACGAGGCGATAAGGATAGTGAAACCCCTCAAAGATATGGATATAGGATCTGAAGAAACATTCATTCTGGATGATGATGAAGAGATGATTAAATGGTATTTGGAAGACAACTTGATAGATTGTCATAAAATATGTAAGGAGATTGAAACGTTAGGTGTTTGCCATGTCTGAGATTAATACTCTTATGGTTATTTTTCCTCTAGAGGTATAATCTAAGAAATGTGAAAGGAATATGGAAGGGATGAGGAGAACAACCTTTTTTATGAATAATAAATATCATTGAAAATGATAAACAAGTTGAATTATGGAATAAAAGGGTCTCTTTCCGGCCTATCCTTTGGGTTTGCAGTTTTCGGAAAACAATTAAACGATTTGCGTTTACATTTGAAGATTCAAAGTTCTTCCCTCAGTTTATTACTATGCTTTCAACTATTTTTTAATGTTTAAGCTTTGATTGGTTTAGTTAACAAATGTGGATTAATCGGAGCAGTGCCAGCCCGAGGATATTTGATGCTTAAAGCAAATTCAAAAATGATGCCCCAAAATTTTTTTTTCCGCAAAATAAAATACCATGAAACTTAATTTGTTTATCAGAGTTGAACAGAAAAAATTGTAAACAAGCAAAAAATAACAGAAACATCAGTTTTCTTCATGGCGAAAGATAATCCTCCTTGCTTTCGCTCCTGCAAATTCATTCATCAATTTTTGGTAATCAAGCTTCTCAACCAGTTCTTGTTCTATAGAAAACCTCTAAACTATTCATACATGGAAAAATAAAAAGAAATTACAAAGATTGGCAAAAGACATAGATTGGCAAACATGATAAGAGAGAAAAGAGAAATAGAAGAAGACATACATAAGTAAAGAACAGAGATTAAAGTTAGAAACAACTGGTGTAAGAGATTATTAGATTAAGATGGAGAAGAAGCTGGAATTTTTTTATAGGGTTTTGATGGTGACAAAGAGGAAGAATAGACATCGTTACGGGTAGAGAAAATTAGGTTTATGTAGTTAATTTGTTTAATAAATAATTATTTAATTTTAATTAATTTAACAAATGGAAAGAGAAACGTTAAATTTTTTTTTTTTAAAGAATAAAAAAAAATCGATTTTGGGAAAAAAATCGAAGGGATTCGAACCCTGCTTTGATGAAAAATGGCACAGCACTTTACCACTACACTAAAGGACATTCTCAAATTTGATGCCCCTAAAATTAAATAAAAAATCTGCTGCTAGAAGCCCTTGCTTGTTGGGCTTCTGCTTCGGGCCGGGCCTGAATCGGAGCTTTTAGTTTTCTTTTTATTTTACGTCGGATCTAAAATTTGATTCGACCAAGCGATGGAGATAATGATCCGTGTTAGTTTTTCACTTATGTTTTGCAAGCTTCGGAGTATTACAGAAGAATCTATTTTCGATGTTGCTCGATGTTAGTTTCTGTCTCCGGCGGAATCATTAGCTTTGACAGCGAAGGATGATGATGGAAAACTTTTGTTTCCTCATGTTTACACGAGTTTATGATGTTGACTTGAAGTGGTGCAAATGGCTAAAATTCATGTTGGACTTTTATGTCAGGGTTTTGTTGGCCCAATAAAATTTTACTTGTGAAACAAAAAAAAATTGATGGGCCAATTTGAAATTTGAAAGATCTTATCTGTAAAAGAAAATGGGCCAGATTGGTCAATTGGACTTGGACAGATCAAACCGTGATCTTGTGGTTGAACCAGCCGGTTGCGGTTTAGATCAATTCTTTAGTTCCCTGGTTCTGAACTTCAAACTTCGTTCCTGATGTTTATAAAAAGTTCCAACTTTTAAAATTTCAGACCTTTATTAGAACTTTCTTCATGATGCACAAAATTTAGTTCTTGATTAGAACTGAGATCGATCTGGGTAGTGCTCTGTTTTCAGTATCCTTCTGCATGAGCCTCAGCTGTGGAGATCTCGCCAATCAGAACGGTCGTCTAGTTAGCTTACTCAACGTCTGTAGAAAAGCTCCTTCCTTTGCAAGGACCAAAGCTCTTCACGCCCTCTCCATCACTTTATGCTCTGTTATATTGCAGCCAGTTTATATCTCCAATAACATTATATGTCTTTATGAGAAGCTTGGCGAGGTATCACTTGCAGGCAAAGTGTTTGATCAAATGCCTGAGAGAAATAAAGTGTCTTTCAACACGATCATTAATGGATACAGCAAATACGGGGATGCGGAGAAAGCTTGGGGTGTATTATCTGAGATGAGGTATTTTGGATATTTGCCGAATCAGTCAACAGTTAGTGGTTTATTGTCCTGTGCATCGTTGGATATTCGTGCGGGAACTCAGTTGCACGGTTTGAGCTTGAAGTATGGCTTGTTTATGGCTGATGCATATGTTGGTACTTGTTTATTGTGTTTTTATGGGAGGCTTGAGTTGCTGGAAATGGCGGAACAGGTTTTTGAAGATATGCCGTTTAAGAGCTTGGAAACATGGAACCATATGATGTCTTTGTTGGGCCATCATGGTTTTCTCAAAGAATGCATGTTTCTCTTCCGTGAGCTTGTTGGGATGGGCGCTTGTTTAACTGAAAGCTCTTTATTGGGTGTATTGAAGGGTGTATCTTGTGAAAATGACTTGGAAATCAGCAAGCAATTGCACTGCTCAGCAACGAAACAAGGGTTGGATTGTGAAATTTCAGTCGTTAACTCTCTCATCAGCGCATACGGAAAATGTGGCAACACACATATGGCAGAGAGAATGTTTCAGGAGGCAGGTTCCTGGGATATAGTGTCTTGGAACGCCATAATTGGTGCAACAGCCAAAAGTGAGAACCCGTTAAAAACACTCAAACTCTTCGTAAGTATGCCAGAGCATGGGTTTTCCCCGAACCAAGGTACATACATTAGTGTTCTTGGTGCCTCTTCTCTTAGGCAGTTATTGAGTTTCGGGCGCCAGATTCATGGCATGCTAATCAAGAATGGCTGCAAAACTGACATATTTTTGGGGAACGCGTTGATTGACTTTTATGCAAAATGTGGTAGTCTGGAAGATTCCCACCTATGCTTTGATTATATACGTGATAAGAACATTGTTTGTTGGAATGCACTGCTTTCGGGTTATTCCAATAAAGATGGTCCAATTTGTCTCTCTTTGTTTCTGCAAATGCTTCAGATGGGTTTCAGGCCAACTGAATATACTTTTTCGACGACCCTCAAATCTTGTTGTGTCACAGAGTTACAACAGCTGCACTCTGTTATTGTGAGAATGGGATATGAAGATAATGACTATGTCTTAAGCTCTCTTATGAGATCGTATGCCAAAAATCAATTGATGAGTGATGCTCTTTTTCTGCTGGACTGGGCTAGCGGACCAACTTCTGTTGTCCCATTGAACATTGTTGCCGGAATCTATAGCAGAAGAGGCCAGTACCATGAATCTGTGAAACTGATTTCGACACTAGAACAACCCGACACTGTATCTTGGAACATTGCAATTGCGGCCTGCTCTCGTTCTGATAACCATGGAGAGGTTATCGATCTTTTCAAACACATGCTTCAATCAAACATCCGCCCTGATAACTACACATTCGTTAGTATCTTAAGTTTGTGCTCTAAGCTTTGTGACCTTACGCTTGGGAGTTCTATTCATGGTTTGATCACCAAAACAGATTTCAGCTGCGTTGACACATTTGTATGCAACGTACTAATTGACATGTATGGGAAATGCGGAAGCATTAGGAGTGTAATCAAAGTCTTTGAAGAAACAAGAGAGAAAAACCTCATTACATGGACGGCATTGATTTCGTCTCTTGGCATCTATGGATATGGACATGAGGCACTTGAAAAGTTTAAGGAAACACTGTCTTTGGGTTTTAAGCCAGATCGTGTCTCTTTCATCTCTATTCTAACTGCTTGCAGACATGGTGGTATGGTAAAAGAAGGAATGGATTTGTTTCAGAAAATGAAGGATTACGGTATTGAGCCAGAAATGGATCATTATCGTTGCGCCGTTGATCTTCTAGCAAGAAATGGTTACCTAAAGGAAGCTGAGCATCTGATTCACAGAATGCCTTTCCCTGCAGATGCGCCTGTATGGCGTACATTTCTTGATGGTTGCAATAGATTTGCAGAAGAACAGAGAAACACTCTCAATGTCGTCTCTTTTCAGTAGTTGAAGAGAGTAGAATTGGAAGAGAAGTGCGAATCTTTTATGTTTATCTGTTGTTTCTCCTGCGAAATTCATATTTGTATATGGTGAAACTGAAGCCTTCAGAGTTTATCTATCTAATAATCAAAAGTTCAGAGAAATAGGCTTGTATTTTGGAATTGTACACAGAAGATAAGCTCTCAGTAGCAAACAATCCAAACTTTGATCAGTCATTACTTATAAAACGATCTTTGTGTATGGTAAAAAGATTATAAGTTTAAATCAACCCGCAGCTTGGAAATCTCCAAAGTCATCATCTGGTGCATCTTCAACCCCTCCATCATTGGCTTTTAGGTCTTCTTTCTTCTCTTCTTCTTCTCGCTTTGTATCTAAATCTTGTTGTTCAGACGATCTTTGGAGGCTGATGCTTGGTGGCAGATTTGACGGGGACTTCTGAGCGGTTGTTACCGGGGAAAGCGGTCCAGGAGGTGGAGGTGGCGGGATGATTGAAGGAATGGTGGTTTCTATTGACTTGCCCTTATCCTCCAACGAGAGATTTCCCAGACTCTTCTCTACCGTTTTTGACTTGCTGTCTTTATCGCTTCTCTGTTTCAATCATTTTGATGTGAAAAAAAAAAAAAAAAAAAAACTAGTGGAAATGTATCCAGACAATAACTGTAAATCTTACATTTTTGAGCTGGAGAACAATGGTTTCTCCATCCTTTAAGCTGTAATCAACAGATGAAGTGTTTTGAAAGTGTTGTTCCATTTCTTCTGCTGTTTTCTTCTTGTTCAAATACCTTTAGCAGAGAGACAGAAAGAGAGGGAGGTCAGATTCAGACATGATTTAGTTGTTTCGAAAGAACTGCTTGATATCTGAATAAAAAAGAACACTTCGAAAATGGGAAGTGGAATGTTACTTCATATGGTCATGTAGTGCTGCTTGGAAATCATATGCTTCTGTTCTTTCCCGGAATCCGAGCCCGATAAAAGCATGTCGAACACGACCATCTGCATTGCTTCATAAAACTAAACTCAAATAACTACTAAAATTTAATATCTCTATGTCTATATGGTAAGTGAGTACCTATCTTTTCTTCAACACGGAGAACAAAATATCTACAAGACAACAACAGACAAATTGTTAGACTAGCTGCACATCATGAGAAGACCAAGTTAAGTTCTATGGTCAACTTTTTGTTACCTGCTACTGTCGATTACGGCTTCTACTGGATGAAGTTCACCCTCTCGCAGAAAAGCCTGAGCGTAAAGTTCCCCTGTGGTTTTATCTACAAGTTTAATAATGCATTCTTCTCCTTTGCTCACCACTTTCAAAGCTCCTTCCCATGCCCATTTGTTCACGTCCCACTCATCTGCTCTGTAAGGATCAAATTTTATATAAAAAAGTATCAGCTGATGTCTATCTCCATATTATATTGGATTACACAATGCATTTGTTCGAAGTGTTGATTAAAAAAGAATGTAACGAAAAAAATGACCATCTTGATGCATATTGAGGTTTAGCTACCATTTATACAAACTTCGTTCAATAAGATTTGTTCCGAGTTTTTGATCATTTGCTAAGCCAAAGGGTTTTGTAAAAATCTCCTAACTAGAGATATCAGAATGACTTAGACATTTTCTGTCATGAAGGCAAGAAAGAACCTGTATGAAGCTGCGGTTTTCCTCGGAGGTATCTGCAAACACAAACAAAAAGATAATGACGAGGTTACCTTCCCTAACAGACACAGAAGAAAGCATAAACGGTAAGTTAACACTGATAACAAGTCCATCAAGCTCCAACGTTGTCCATTATCTATTGAGAAAAGTCTCCTTAATCTAAATAACAACACTCAGTATTTTACAATGTCTATGAATTCATCAAGGCAACCAATTTGGAATCTCATACATCATATAATGGAATGAACGTGTAACAATTTCACGAGTATCTCAAAAGCTAGTATGATTTCAGAGACCCCATCAAGAAATCACTTAGCAAGATATTGGTTAAAATTAATGTACTCTTTTATCACAATCCTTGAATCTATTATACGAAATCTCCTTGAAAACTTTCTTGCTGATAGTTACATGTGCAATCGATCACCATTGCAAAAATTTTGGGTGATCAAGACATTAACTTAAAGTCTTCAACATGTATGCAAATAAAGATAATTTCCTCGATACCATTGCACGAAATCTACAACACCAGATTGAGATTGCTAACTGATCAGATCCAAAACCTCTCCTAAAATCACAAGTGAACTTGCAAAGAAAGAATGTAACTTGAGTATATGGACGCAAAATTCATCAAAATTTCCATATACCCATCTCATTATAACCCAAAAAAAAGTTAGAAATTTACCAAATAAACATAGCATTCAGGTACTTGGAATAGAACAATCTCTATGGCTTCCCTCTCCTCGTTATCATCGACAGTCACAGGATCAGTGAAAGATTTCTTGCCTTCCGAAGAAGACGAAGCTTGATCCATCTCAGAAACAAAGAATTTAACTTGAAGAAAAAACCCAGATGGGACTAATCGATCAAACACACCCGTAAATCTTTAATGTTAAGTCTTTCCCCAACTGTGATTACAACAATCTCACACGAGTCGCGAAGACGATTCGAAACGCAGAGGTTTCGCGTTAGGTGTGTAGTGTACCCATTACTTCGATCTGAGCTACTTGAGAACCATCCGATCTAGATACCTATGTTAAATCTGAACCGTCTTTATGTTGACTTTTAAACCCTCATAAAGACTAGACACGTGTATATCCTCCACCGCTGGGAAGTCAACATAGAACCAATAGAAACAACGTCCATGTTTACTCTAATGGGCCTTGAACTAACGGGCTCCGGCCCATTATAATTATTTTTGTATTGTTTTATTCAATATCTGACTCTTGGTGGTGATGAGTAGGTGGAAAATGTGTGTACTTATTTAATTTCTCTCCACTTTGAGTCTGTGACCCTAATTTCAGAGCTCTCTTCTCTTTGCGCAGTCAATTTGCTACAACTGAGAAAATGGCGGCTGCGACTTCATCCATCGCTCCATCTCTTTCATGCCCATCTCCTTCTTCTTCATCCAAAACCCTTAGGTCTTCGAAAGCCAGAACCTTGGCTCTTCCCAATATCGGTTTCCTCTCGTCTTCTTCCAAGTCTCTGAGGTCGCTTACTGCCACCGTCGCTGGAAATGGTATCGGTTCCGCCACTGGATCCTCCCTTTCCGCTCGTATGGTTTCGTCGTCGGCGGTCAAAGCCCCTGTTTCTCTCGATTTTGAGACATCTGTCTTCAAAAAGGAGAAAGTTTCTCTTGCTGGTTACGAAGAGGTTTATTTCATTTACCACCTTTGATTGAATTTGTGGTGATTCTATAATCATTTTCGTGGGGATAGATTTTGTTAGTTGTTGCTAATGTTTGGTTATTGCTGATGTTTGTTTTAGTACATTGTGAGAGGAGGAAGGGATTTGTTCAAGCATCTCCCAGATGCTTTCAAGGGGATTAAGCAGATAGGTGTTATTGGCTGGGGATCTCAGGTACTTTCTTTTTTTTGGTCTCTTTATTTGTGTCTCTGTTTTTCACCTAATTTGTAGCTACTGGTGCTTCTTGTTTGATTGCTTTTTGAATTGCTTACGTTGGATTTGTGGATATGGATTCTTGATTACGTCATGTTAAATGAATTTGGTTAGAAAAGGGAAATGAATACAGTGTTTTCATTTTTCATGCTTTTGAGTTTTGATGCATTTGAGTTGCATATTCTTTTTCTTTAGCAACAAGATTAATGAATAAGCTGCATATTCTTTTTCTTCAGCATCTCTTGTACAAAACTCGTTGTCTATGTGCAGGGACCTGCCCAAGCTCAGAATTTAAGGGATTCACTTGTGGAGGCAAAGTCTGACATTGTTGTCAAGGTATATCAACTGCTGAGTTGGCTTCATACTTTCATGTGTTTGCTTTATCTTTGCGTTCTGCTGTTACATGAAGGCTATGTTCTGACTTGGTTTTTTTTTAATACTATTACGCAGATTGGTCTCAGAAAAGGGTCTCGCTCATTTGAGGAGGCACGTGCTGCTGGTTTCACTGAAGAAACTGGTACTTTGGGTGATATATGGGAAACTATTTCTGGCAGCGATCTCGTATTGCTTTTGATCTCTGATGCTGCTCAAGTAAGTGCACTTTGTTACATATATTTCTCGTATTTGTTGAGGTATTGGTCCTTAGGTTTATACATCGATTTTAATGTATCCTGTTTTGCAGGCTGATAACTATGAGAAAATCTTCTCTCACATGAAGCCAAACAGCATTCTTGGTTTATCACACGGGTTTCTACTAGGGCATTTACAGTCCTCAGGACTTGATTTCCCAAAGAACATCAGTGTGGTCGCTGTATGCCCTAAGGGAATGGGTCCTTCTGTGAGGAGGCTTTATGTCCAAGGAAAAGAAATCAACGGTGCTGGAATCAATGCCAGTTTTGCAGTCCACCAGGTTTTCTATCTCTTTATCTCTACTGCAAAAGCTATATTTTGTTTTCAACGGTGCGAAAACTCTTATATCTCATGTGTTCATTTTTTCACCACTGTTTCTGTTATTCTGCTGGCAGGATGTTGACGGTAGAGCCGCCGATGTTGCATTGGGATGGTCAGTAGCACTTGGTTCTCCTTTTACTTTTGCTACTACTCTTGAACAAGAGTACAGGAGTGACATCTTTGGAGAAAGAGGTGAGTCGAGCAGCTTCTATTAGAACTGTCTTTCTATCGCTCAATCCCATACTTAAAACATATCTTCTTCTTTTTTGTTAAAAGGCATTTTGCTTGGTGCTGTTCACGGAATTGTGGAGTCTCTGTTTAGAAGGTATACCGAAAATGGGATGAGTGAAGACTTGGCTTACAAGAACACAGTAGAATGCATCACAGGAACAATTTCAAGGACTATCTCTACTCAGGTTTGTAGGAATATATCTGTAGAGACCGGACTAATCCCTTTATGACCAAATCGAAATTAAAATTTGAAACCTGTTTCTGATGAATTGTGAACATCAGGGAATGTTGGCTGTGTACAACTCCTTGTCTGAAGAAGGTAAAAAAGATTTTGAGACTGCATACAGCGCATCCTTCTATCCTTGTATGGAGATTCTCTATGAATGTTATGAGGATGTACAAAGTGGCAGCGAAATCCGAAGTGTTGTCTTAGCTGGTCGTCGCTTCTATGTAATGACGCTTCCGAATCTTCCTTTTGTTTCATTTACCCAAAATACAGTTTGTGCAGGAATTTTGATGGAATCTCTTACTTGTAACAGGAAAAAGAAGGCTTGCCAGCATTCCCAATGGGAAATATTGACCAGACAAGAATGTGGAAGGTGGGTGAAGGCGTCAGGAAGTCCAGACCTGCTGGTGACTTGGGTCCATTGTATCCCTTCACCGCTGGAGTTTATGTAGCACTTATGATGGCTCAGGTATGGCTATGTTTATATCTGGTGTGCCCTTCATTGTTTTGGATTTTTGGTTTATGCTATGTAGGGTCGGTTTCAATTTCTATTCAGATATTAGAAAATATATCTTTAATTTGAAGATTTTTCAAAGAATTTGATATTGCAATAGGTTTATAGTCTAATTGGATTGTTCTTACTTCCATATTGTTTCAAAGAAATTGTCATGTCAATCTGTTTTGGGTTCAATTATGAATTCTTTTTGTATGGTTTTAGTTCGAATTAACCACAGTGGACAACCCCATTATTAATATGTATCTGCCTGCTATCGATTTCCAGTGATTTATCAGAATCTAAATCTTGGTTTCTATGGGGTTTTGTGTAGATTGAGATCTTGAGAAAGAAAGGTCACTCTTATTCAGAAATCATCAATGAGAGTGTGATTGAATCAGTGGACTCTCTAAACCCATTTATGCACGCCAGGGGAGTGTCCTTCATGGTTGACAACTGCTCGACCACAGCAAGATTGGGGTCCAGGAAATGGGCTCCGCGGTTTGACTACATCTTGACCCAGCAAGCTCTTGTGGCTGTGGACAGTGGTGCAGCAATCAACAGAGACCTAATCAGTAACTTCTTCTCGGATCCAGTCCACGGTGCCATTGAGGTCTGTGCACAGCTCAGGCCTACCGTTGATATCTCTGTGCCTGCTGATGCAGACTTTGTTCGACCTGAGTTGCGTCAATCTAGCAACTGAGTGAAGAGTTGAAAGTTTGTCAGAGTCTCTTATTTGTAATCGGAGGTTTAAGTATGTCGAGAGTTTGTGATGTTTTTTAGGCGTGACTGTTTTGTTTGATGGATTCTGAATAATTATGTCTCTTTGCTTTGGTCTTAAAATCTACTCAAGTCAATAAAATAGTTTCGAACAAAACGTTCTTTTACTTTTTTCGTAACAACATTTTCAAACTTACAACTTAATTTTGTTTAGAATTGTGTTATGTCAATTTCAGTAGCTGAACTGGGATTAGAGAGTCCCTTGAGAGTTTAGGATTTAAGTAACCAGTATCAAGAGTTTAGGATTTGATGAAGTTTATATGTCTGCGTTAATCTTAATATTTAGAGAGTTTTAAAAACTCGAATTGTTTTAGGCTATAATTCTTCCAAGATTTCCAAGATACTGTAATGCTATTCTTTTTGGGTCAAAAATATTATGCTGCTATGTTGAATGATTGAACATAGAATAAAGAGATAAGTTTTTGCAAATGCCAGATAGATTTTTATAGATTGAATATATGTAGTCACTATCTCCAATTTCAGTTTTATATAATTATTATTACAAGGAAAAATAATTTGTGTGTGTGTTTTTTTTTTCTTTTCAAAATTAAAGATAAAGAAGAGAAAATTGGCAGAGCATAATGCTTTTGTCTCTCTTTTTACTGAGAAATGAAGAATCTAAATTATTAGAATCACATGTAATGACATGTCACATGTGCTCTCCCTCTCCCTCTGCACATTTTCATTATATGTCAAGTCTTTTTCCCTTTCCTTCTAAAATCAAAAAGATAGATATAAATCCACAATGCTTGAGAAAAAGGAAAAGAAAGATAGAAACATGAGAATCTGAATTAATAAATAGATAAAAATTCTGCAATCATATGATAGTGTGGCTCAAGAATTAGAGAAAGACAAGACCAACATGTGTAGCCAATCATACTGTATTGCTCTTTTCCCACATTTCATGTTCATTTTTCCTAAAAAAGAAAAGAAAACACTAAAAACAAACTTCTCTCTTTTAACTTCAAACTTGTCTTCAAGAATTCTTATTGTCAAATTGATAAGGATTCATGTTTTTTTAATTTAAACAAAATACAGCTCGAGTACAAACTGCTAACACTTTAATATATTCGAATTAGGTTTAATTTGATTCCGGTTATTGCTTAATTTCCATATATTGTAGGACAGTTGAATCTAAACAAAGAAAAAGAAGAAGAGATAGAAAGTATGAGAGAACAAGGTTTGGGGTTAAAGCTTAGAGTCTCAAACTATATCGTAATTTACTGGTTTTGTTATGTTGTTCGTACTACATAAGTCACGTGATGATTGAAAGTCGCCGAGTTAAGTTTAGTTTTAGTTGGTAATGAATTGAACTAACAAAAATTAGAAAATATTTTCGAATACATGAACTTTTAGAACAATCACTATGAAGAATGTTATCTTGACTGATATCTTGAAATGACGAAATTTTTGTCACTAACTTTGTGGAATCACTAAACTTAAATTTTCATCCATAAAGTTATCTAATGATAAACGTTGCAAGAACATAATCATTATGTCATTAAGCTAATCTAAAATATAT